CATCATTCTCATTCTCACATCAACCTCGAATTAAGTTACCATTCTCTTGGGGTCGTGACAGTGCGGTGTTTTGGGTTAAGGAAAATCCACATATGATATGATTTAGGTAATCTGTCTCCCGAGTGTGTCTTATTTTATTACACATAATGGAGCCTCTTATTTTGTGTAAAACGATGTTTTATTGTGAATTTCTCATTTAGTTATTTTTTTAAATGTGTATATTTTATGATCGGAACTTCAAGTTCATTTTTATAAATGTTTTATTTTACGTGCTTAAGTAAATAAATTGTAATTGTGTTGTGCTACTCGCTTTTCTTCCAAATGCCAGTGATATTGCCCACAAACATATTGAAATAATATATATATATATATATATATATATATATATGTATGTGTGTGTGTGTGTGTGTGTATATATGTATGTATGTGTGTTTGTGTTTTGTGAATGTGTGTGTTTATGTGTGCTTGTGTGTATATGTGTTTATGTGTGTGTGTGTGTAAATATGTGTGTGTGTGAATATGTGTGTGTGTGTGTGTGTATGTAGATACACACACATATATATAAATATTTATATTAATATATATATGTGTGTGTGTGCATGTGTGTATGTGTGTGTTTGTGTGCGCGTATGTGTGTATTGATATATATATATATATATATATATATATATATATATATATATATATATATATTGATATATATATATATGTGTGTGTGTTGTGTGTGTGTATGCACACACACGCACATACACACATATTCACACACACATAAACACACACACACGTGTGAAAAATCGGAAGGAAAAAAAGCATTGCATCTGGAAATGTGGATGAACTGAGTGAGTCGAGCGCAGCATTGGAAAACCGCTGAGAATGGTCCGAGATAAACCCGGAGCCTGAGATCACCAAGATTAAGATAATCTTACGTAGCAATGTAAAGTTTACCCCAAAAACATATCCGTAAGTGGTACAGATGGAGTGGTTTTCTTCTTTGTCAGAATTTGAAGGGTAAACTAAAGCATTCGTGAAACACTAACCCTGATATTCTTTAATTGAAACATTAGCTTTAGATATATATCATACTAATGTAAGTGATTTTTATTTTTTTCATAATAACCAGTTTTGATGCTGATTCCCAGTAAGATAATGTGTAATTTTATGAGGAGAAAAGAAAAGAAAAATAATGGCTTTTAGACAAAAAACCTCTAAAAGATACTTTTGTAAATCGGAAATATTTTGGTTTGTACTACTTGTGAAAAAACATGGATTTCCTTAAGCACACTTTTCTAGAAAAATAACAATAATAATAATAATAATAATAATAATAATAATGATAAAATAATGACAGTAATAATAATAGTATTAATAATAATAATAATAGAATTAATAATAATAATAATAATAATAATAATGATAAAATAATGACAGTAATAATAATAGTATTATTAATTAATAATAATAGAATTAATAATAATAATAATAATAATAATAAAAAAGCTTTATCTCTATCATTCAAGAGCGTGAGTACGAATGGCAATTGCTTCGTTCAGTCCTGAACCAAAGGGAATTTGCCAAATTCTTACTTTGCTATTAAGTTACCACAAAATTACAGACGGAGCAAAAATACGCACTTGGAAATTGAAAATGCCATTTGCCTACGATACCATGGCATTTTGATACCGCTAAGGCAGTTGGCTTTAACGGACGCAAAGTAAATTTACTTTTATTATATAGGTAATACTTTAAGAAAAATAAAGATGAGGATAGTGATAATAATCAGTATTGGCATCATCATACAAATTGTTATAATTTCTTTTTCTTTATCACAGCAGTCGTTATACCTCATCTATGATAATGATTGTACTACTATTAATACATAATGATACTGATTATGGCAGTAATAATCATGATCATTTTCATAATTCATAATAATAATAGTAGGAATAATGTTCAGCATGGGATACTTATATGGAAGTGTGAAAAACGGAGACAGTTAATCGTGTTCTTCAGGCGAACTGGCAAACCCCGGCTTGTGCATATAAACGTCGCTTCGGCCGAGGCAACCACAGGCAACCACAGTTCCCGACAAGGAAGTACCAAGCTTCTGCAGCCAGCAACCCGACACAGCAAAGAGACCGGACACTATTCTCTGTAGATAACCATCATGAGACCGTCTGTGATGATCACTCTCCTTGTCCTGGTCTTGGCCGCGCAATGCACGCAAAGAAAAAGGGAAATTTACAAAAGAGGTTGCTCGGCATCTTCTTGGGTTAGCATCTTAATCCTTGCCCGATGACGATTCTTTGTGTCTTTTCAGTTAATGATAACATACTTTAAACGAACTTATGTCTGGTAATCGCATTCTATCTTTCATTGGATGACGACCAAGAGGGTGACTTTCATGGGACACTCATGCAAGATTGAAGTGGAGCATAGGTTCTCCCACTGGACTGTGTACTACCAGTGCACTTTCACCTGTGACCATGGCCTAATATCACAGGCAAAGGTAAACGTGCTTACTTGTGATTTCCTATCCTCTTTTTTTTCTTCCTCTTACCCCTCTCTTTCTCTTGCCTTAACTTTACAGCAGTATGCAT